CTTCTGCATAAGAATCTTATAGTCTTCAGAGGCAAAAATTATCTCTCTCCACATATTAAAACATACAGTAAAGGTATATCAAATTCATATTATACTGGCACAAAAATAAAGTGATAAATGGAACAGAATAGAGAACTCAGACCTCTGAATATATATGAATATAATATTGTGAAGAATCATGAGGAAACTTTCTGGGTGATGGCTCTCTTACATATCCTAATAGGATTTGGAATTGCAATCATAGGTATATACAGGACTTTGAATGTTATGTTTAAGATTTGTACGTGCATAATATACAAATTTTATCTGAAAAGAAATGGTAAATTTGAAAAAAGCATGTCTTTTAGTTTCCCTAAAATATCATATAGTCTAGCAAACATTGTTTATTAATATATTCTGAGTTAACTAATATATTTTAAGATAGAGATTTTAAACTGTACTAAATCAAAGTGCTATGTACAATGGTAGTTAAGGAAAGAGAAAATTCTGAATAAACAAAGAATCATTCACCTACTAAAATGTCAGAAAGAAATCAGGGTAGGATATTGAACTTGGCTATTGGATAGTCATTGATAATCATTCCAGCATGGTCTAAAGTACAGTAAGGATAAATTTACGCACCACACAAGAGAGTGCATAAAAGGAAAATTGAGTCATAGTATGTACCTTTGAAGGAAAGTTTATTATTCAATAAGAATAACCCCTCTTTAGTTTTGTTTCTTTTGTACTGGAGATTGAACCCAGGGGCATTTAATCATTAGCCCACATCTCCAGATCTTATTTATTTATTTATTTATTCATTTATTTATTAAATTTGGGACAGGGTCTCACTAAGTTGCTTAGGACCTTGCTAAATTGCCAAAGCTGGCCTTAAATTTATGATGTTACTGACTCAACCTTCTGATTTGCTCAGATTATAGGTGTGTGCTGCTGCACCTGGATCCCCTCTTCATTTTTTGTGATATATTATATAAGGCTATATCATGTAGAATTCTAAAGATTGTAGCAAAATATTCTGTTCCTTTGTTACCAGTCCAACTCTAATCCGGATACTGTCATGGAATGATGGTGCAGATATAATTAAGGCTCCAAGTCAATATATAAATTATTACATGGGTGAACCTGAGCCAATTAAGCAAACTGACTGCAAATGAAGAGATTTTCCACCTAGTCACAGAAGAAAGAAATTCAAAACATGAGAAGAACACATGCTTGTTTGTAGAAGGTGAGGGTCACAGGAGAAGGAACATAGACCTCCTCTAGGTGGAAGTTACTGCCCCAGTTGGAAACCAGCATGGAAGTGGAGCATGGAAGTGGAGCGTTAACTAGTGCTTATTATTATTATTTTTTTAATCAGGGAAGTAGATTTACCAACAAGAAAAATGAGACTGAAATCAGATCCGTTCCAGAGCAACCAGAGAAGAGGTTATCCTGGTAGACATATGACTTCAGTATTGTAAGACTTTAGCCAGAGAACCCAGTTGAATCTACCTGGACTTCTTTCCTACAGAATTGTTGCCTTTTTCTGTTACACAACAAAAGAAAAGTCATGTAAGCTATCAAATGATTGTGCTGTAGGGTAGATAAAAGAGTATAAAATTATTTAAAATGGAATTGTTCTCAAGGTATTTATTTGGAAAGTACTGTTCCCCAAGATCGTGACATGTGATAGATGTATTTCCATCTAGCTTCCTAACCACAGCTTACTTATTGAATTTATATTATTGATAGTGTCGTCTTTATAATTATGAAAATAAACTTACATCACAATATGAATTTCAAAAGTAAATAATAAAGTGTACCTGAGATAGCTAAAATACCTGATTTATGCTTGGGCTAAAAGAGGGTCAGCTTTTCCAGTTGAAAATACTGGAATTAACATGGCTTTAGAAAGTTGAATATTTAGGTTCATATATTTTATGGGTCTCAATTTACTTACTGAAGTCACCTCTGTTTCACAAAGATTAGTTAAAATCATATGTCTGTAAAGGTATCCATATAAGATACTAGTGCTGTTTAGCAACAGCAGGTAAAAATACAGTCCAGGCACACATTTCTGTCTTTACCTGTGGCAAAGCAGCTGAACAATCTGTTCTAGAACTACAGGATGGAAGATGTCAGAGACAATGATGACATAATTAGCAGCTGCAATGCATCCAGCTCTACCTGAATGGTTGTGTGCTTTTCAATTTTACCACCCTTCAGTACCACGCAATACATGTGACACAGGAAAGTTCTTCGCTTTGCACAGGAGTGCTTTGCTCTCCTGCCCTCTTAAATACTGGCACATTCCCTCTTCTTCACAGAGGGTGCACATTTCTCTTACTTGCACAAACGCCTAGGTAGACTGAAAATGTATTTGCAAACAGTAAGTACTAAAAACAATTCCACAGAACACTCAGCCTTTCAGAAACTATTACATTACAAAGATTTTTAAAAATCCAATTTGAAAAAGTGGCAACTAGATTTGTCAAAGCAAAATACACCAGAAAATACTTTGATAGCATGGCTGATGTTGAAGTTAAGGTTTATAAACAATTGTACAAAAGAGATTACCCACCAGTGTTAGCAGGTAATTAGGCCAAGCAATAAGTGCATGAATGTACACTTTTCTAAAGCAATCTCCCAACACAACGATAAAAGTTTAACTAGTGCTTATTTTTTATATACTAGTTTATGATTATGATTAAATTATATTTTAGAAGTGCTCATTGATTTGTTCTCTAAGGCATTTTTTTTTGCCACTGATAAAATTCAGAAAATTACAATTTAGTATATTGTTTTACTTAGTAGATATGTAATAACTCAGTTCTCATAAGATGTTAGCAATATTTTAAAAAGTTTCCTGAATATATAATTAGGATGTTACTTTAGTAAGAAACAGGCATTTCTTTTAGAAATGATGTCAATATATAGTTTCATGCTACAGATAAATTAATGTATATTTTATAAATTTGTTTCCACTTGATGCAAATATTATTTGGGCTTAGGTAGTGAATGAGAATTAATCTGAAGTATGGTTATTGATCTAATTACCACTGGAGTTTTTTTCTATTCCCTGTAAGATATTTTCAATGTTTTCATCACTATTTCCTGGACATGTTTACCTATTCATTCCTTATTTTTTTCAACTGATTTTTAATGAATCATTATGTAATAGTCATTAATTGCCCTTGAGTCCCTAAGAACACAAAATTACCCACCTAATATGGTTACTTTAGATAAATATTATTTAAAGTGAAAACAAAGGAACCCAATGAAAAGTAATTAGTAACACCTATTGAAAAGTAATTAGTAAATGCTTGCTTTTAAAATTGTGTTAAAAAAATCTAAATGGAAATCACTTGAGCTATACATCAGACACTAGAAAGGCAATATGTCAATCAATGGAAGGGTAACTGATGTGATACAGCAATCTGTATACGGGGTAAAGTTGGGAGTTCATAACCCGCTTGAATCAAACTGTGAAATATGATGTATTAAGAACTGTGTAAGGTTTTGAACGACCAACAATAAAAAAATAAATAAAAAAATCACTTGAGCTAATTTTTCAAGTGCAAAAAGTAATATATATATATATATATATATATATATTACTTTCATATATATATGAAAAGTGCAGGTAAAATGTAAAACATTGGAGAAGCCTAATCATTGATTTTTATGAAACAAAGGGCAATACAATAATTGAAAAACACAGCAAGGTTTACCTTTATACTAACAGGTGGCTATAATAAAAGGACAGATAATAAAAAGTTTAGGTGATTTTATGAAGTTGAGATCACACTGTTTTGTGGAATGTACAAATTGTGTGGACACTTGAGGAAAGGCTGGCCATTCATCCAATGTTTAAATTTCAAGTTATCGTAGGACAAAGCAATCCCACTCCTCACTATGTACCCAAGAGAAATGAAGACATGTCCACTTCAAATAATCTCACACTAATGCCCATAGCAGCATCAATCATACAATGTAAAAATTAAAAACAACACAAAATTCTATCACATAATGAATGAACAAATAAAGTGTATTATATCCAAAGAAAGGAATGTTTTTTGGTAATACAAAAGGATGAAGTTTTGATGACACAGTACAACATGACAACATGGGTAAACACTGAAATTAAGTAAAACCAGCCATAAATTATCACATACATATTGTATAATTATTTCATAAAATACCAATAATAGGCCAATCTATAGAAACTAATAGTTGATTAATGGCTTTGTGGGATTGCGGGAGTCTGAGCTGGATGGCTAAGGGGTGCAGAATATTGATTTGGAGAACCAAAAAGTATTCTAAAATTTATTGTGGCAAATAAGGTACACCTTTGTGATATACTGGAAGCTACTGAAGTATAGCATTTGAAGAATGAATTTATATTATATTGTGATAGTAGGAGCAAATGTAACTCCATTTTGTTTTATGACTTCATCCTGTAAAATAACCATGCCAAGTAGAAGAATCATGACTGGAGCAAGAGGGAAGCCACAATTGTCTTGCTAAGCTTTCTCTCAGTGTTTTTCTTAAAGAGGTCTGAGGATTGTTATTGAAATTCCATGAGTTATTCTTTTACGTTAAGTATTATAAAAGCTAATTGGAACTTATATTGGAGTTTCATATTGACAAAATTATTCAAGTGCTTTTATTAATTTTTCTTTTTTTTTCTGAAACTGCCACATATGAAGTATTTTTCTCAATGGCTTAAGTAATGCATAAATATAAGAGAAAAAAATTCTCACAATTGGCAGGAGAATCAAACACTTTCCACTTAAGGATAAGGGCTGTCCTAGGAATAAAGAAAAAGTAAAGAGTTTCCTCACCTCATCCAACACTAAGTAAACAAGTGTAACATCCTGTATCTTCTGCTAGGTTCTCATAGCAAAAAAAAAAAAAAAAAAAAAAAAAAAAAGATGGGAAACACACTCTCAAGGAAAGCTCTGTATGATACTTGGTGTTCAAGTGACATCTTTTCCTATGATGCATAAAGAGCAGTTTACCATTTTCTGAAGCAGCAACTGTGATGTTGTACCATGGAGTTTCTTCTCTGTCAAGAACCTTCGATGTCTTAATGGTTCCAGTATTGGCATCAATGTTGAAAAATCTGTCATCTTCAGCCTTGTAATTGATGAAGTACCTGGAGGAAAAACAAAATGTAATCCTTCATTTTTCCTTGAAGCTATAATAGAGAGAAAACACACTGAAAAAAGGGGAGATATTAAATCAAATACATTAAAAATATAGCTGTATGTTTAATCTCCATATTTGGCTGAATATTTACATAGAAACTTTATTTTATTATAGAACACACAATTATTTTATCTCTTAGTCTTTAAAACTTAGGCTATTATACAACAAGTTATTTTCAAAAATATTTGCTAAATTCTATGAATAAGAGTAGATAATAGAAACACAGTGATTTATAAGAGAAAAATGCTTTTTGTAGTTCTGTAGTATGTTGGAAGAAAAAATACAAAAGTAAAAATTCTTGTTGCTATATGTACAAAGAATTTTAAGGTTGAAGCAGATGTCAGAGGGAATTTTTTCTTGGTATTTCATTATAGTTGAAATTTGGAGATGAATATAAAATGCAAAACAACACGTCTATAGTTATTACCATAATATGTACAACACTTTGATTGAATCTTTATTTAGTACAAGAAAAAAAATATTTCAAGGAGGAATTTGTGCACTAGGGGCCACAAGTTGCCCCACTCCTATTTATATAATCTTGCAGGTTTTTCTCATCCAAGGTTTGGCCTTCAGCCTTCTCTGGAAATAGAATGAGCTGAAAGTGATGGTGTTCTGGTTTCCTGTTGTGCCCTGCCACTTTCATAAGAAAACTCTGCCTGGGCTATTGTGCTCATCCCAGCAGTAGATAGAGTCATAATGTTGTTGTAGGTCAACTTCTCCAGCCTAGAGCAGAGTACCCTAGAAAGTGTCAAGATGCAAGAATGAGTGCACCAGAGATTGGCAGAGCTGGCAAGCAAAGGCTACCACTGTTGATGGTAATTCACAGACACATCTATGATAGTTGTAATAGACATTTTATATCTCTGAGTCTGTTTTTTTTATTCATTGATAGCTAATTAACATGTATAATAAAAATATAGTAAATAATTACTATTTATTCTAGAAAATTTCTAGACTGTTTCTAAAATTATTTAAGTACATAAATGGTCTTTTCTCTCCTAAAAACTGTAATACCTCTTCCCTTTTCCTTAATCACAGCTTAAGTTTTATCTAGACAGAAAGTATAAAAATGAAAGGATTTGTGGAAAGATTTAGAAAAAGAGCATTAGAAATAGAGGGGAGAAAGTAAAAAGATCAAAATTAAGTTAATAGTTTGACTTGATTGCAAAATCATAAATAAAGAAAGAAATAAATACAAATACTGATGTATATCAATGCAACTATACAGAGCAAAAGATATGGATGCCCAGGTGTTAGAACAAGCAAGCCCTATAGCTTGTGGTAAAGAGTCTTTCTCTGTACAAGCAGAGAAGAAATGTTAAAAAGAAAGGAAAGACTGATTTATGTTTTTGAAAAACTCACAGTGGCTACTTTCAACCTTGTATTGGGAAAATTAAAAACAAGAAAAATGTAATCATCTTGAATGAAGTGAGAAATATAGAAATGGAAAGAAGTGCCTTAAACATTGCTATGTATTAGAGACAGCCTGTAAAACACTTTTTTGGAGTGGCATTAGTGAAGGGGAGAACTTGCAGGTGTCTTGTTTGCATGTATATGTGGGTGACTGAGTGCTTGTTTTACCTATTTACAAGGTAGACAAAATTGAATTAAGGTAAAGCAATTTTGGAGAAATTAATTGCTTTGATATAGTATGACTATGATGCCAACTAGGTTAACACATGGAAAGAAAAACAGAGATCAAATAAGTGGGTGGATTTCAAATGTGTTTTCTGAACAGGAAATATAAAGTTTATACAAATTAGCATAGACTTAAGGTAATTGGAACAGTATGATACTATTTGGAAGAAAATTGTAAGGAGATAAGAAAATCCTGAGACCCTTTTGAGACGAAAGCAACCCAAATTCTGTGTAAGATTGCCGCAAAAGGAAAGGGGCATCCCAAAGAAGGAGGAAGGGACCCTAAAGGGACACTAGAGCCAGGAGAAACGAATGTTTCAAAGAAGGAGTGGACAGATGTGGTAAATTCTGTTAAGGAGCCAACTGAGGTTAGTAAGTGTTGATCAGATTTGACAACATAAATCTACTGCTTAACTTAAGAAGCACAAATCTCAATAAACTGTCAAAGAATTTGAGTTTTATTACAGCAGATTTGAGAGTTTATTGAATGTGAACATGTAAAGGCCATGAGGCATGACAATTTACTTGAATCACTTTACGAATGGAAGTCACTAAAAAGGTGCACTGAGTTATCCACAAAGTAAGTTTGACAATCTGTTCTTTTCTAGAAGGAAAACATGAAGAATTGACTATACTACTACAGGGAATGGTTATTTTGAGAGGAGACTATCTAAAATGTTCAAACTCACGAGAAGATGAAAATAATTGGGTTCCAAAGTAGAAATTTAGGAATTGCCCATTGAAAATAACATGGACTCTAATTCCATTTTATCATGAGAAAAATATAAAAGTTGTTTGAAAATCTAGAATAGGTGAGTATAGTAATGGAAATACTACAAAATTCATTATACTTTCTAAAACAGTATAAGCATATAAGTATAGCTTTAATAAAACTCTGTGCCTCTCAGAGGTATAATGTGCCAATAGGGTCCACAGAAGCTACTGCTAAGGAGTAAAATCTTCTAACAACATGTGGGTATACATGCACAAACATGGCAAAAGTTATTAACAGAAGCCAATAGGCTGAAACGACAAACCAAAGAACACCCAAAGAAATTTAGGCCCATTTAGTAATAATTACACCTACTAAGGGACAAAATTTATCACTTAAAATTTTGTAATGAAAACAAAATAACCGACCATTGTATATTTATTTTTTCAAACCAGAAGTATATATTAATTGAAGAAATTACCATGTAAAAATAATTTAAACAAATAAAATAATAAGTATAAAGAAAACCTTATTCAGAGACTTTAAATCCAGATGAATCAGTGTAGTAGGAACCCTGCATGTCATTGGGCTTTCCCAGAATATGAAGGCGTGCTGCACTGAAGCCGTTTTTATTTTCTTTGACTTGAGTTCACATCACAAAGAAACCTGACAGTACTTCTTCCTCAGGGGCTTGACGCTAAGGATGAGGGCCGAATAGCTCTGGATATTTCTTGTCACATGTAAAGGACAACATCCTTCAAAACATAATCAGTTAGCATTCTAGCTATTTTATCAGTTAAAGTTTGTTGCCATTAATCTATCTATAATGTCTATTTTTGGACATTGCTGTCATTTTGGATTACTCTAAGAAAATGTTTCTATTTGAATATCAGAAAAACTAAAATTGAAACAAATTATTCGAACTTGTATTTTCCTCCAGACTATCAAACTCAGATTTAAGTTTCTACTAATGCACTCCTATGAAATAGGGCAGAAGACCCATTATTTGAGGAGCGTGATTACTTCAGATTTATAAGTCTAGAAAAATGGGGGTGTCTTTTATTTATAAGCTAAATGAAGAATCTGAAAATATATAGTGTTTCTTTTCTTATTTTTCCTGAGCAATTTTCTCAGAAACCTCACTCTGGGCTTCTAACCCAAGCTCTAACATTAGTGGTTAAATACCTTTGGCTATAATAATTTTTTATTTGGATTTTAGGAAACTAGATTCTATGTATACCTAGTAGAAAATGTTAGGCGTCATGCTGGGCATGTGTCCTCAGACTCATGTTATTTACCTCTTGTTTTGTATGTGATCTAGCTCTCTTGGGAAATCAACAACACAAGGGCTAGATATCAGAGGGTGTTTGAACTACAAAGTCTAACTCAAGCAGGTGCAATTGAATTCTGACTGAAGTAGCACTGTACTGTTCTGCTTAACTACCCTTGGATTCCTGCCCAGCCATGGAAATAAACATTCAGAAATCAGCTGAATGAAATGTGAGAGAAAAGCAACTCTTTAAAACTATTTTGGTCATCAAATGTAGAATTAGTTAATGCTCATGATTTAGAATTAAGAAATGCCATAAGACTATAAAATTGTATAGTAAACAAATCATTTAAATATATTAATAGTTTAACTTTCATAATAAATTCATTTGTTTTATAAACTCTCATGTGGAAGTCATCTGTGAAATACATAAAGACCTTCTCTAGGCATGGAAGCCAGGGAGGAATAGGCCTGGCAGTGGAAACTTCCTGTGGTTCTCCTTTGTTTACAGATCACCCAATGCATGTGACCTTCCCCTCCTCTCTGCTAGAAAGGTTCCTCATAGTAGCACCAGAAATGGGCATAACCCGTAAGGGAACTAAACAGCCCACCTTTAATCTGTTTTGGAAAAGAACACTATAGAATCTCTTTGATGTCTCCCAATATAAATAAAGCAGGTGTGGGCTCCATTTTGTCAGAAGCTCGATCTGTCTGGTCAGCTTGCCTGTCCTACCCCCGCTTTTGAAATTACTTTCTGTGTTCTGTTTTTGTTTTTTTGTTTTCCCTAGATTTTAGTTCTCAGTCAGCCTATTGCACTGAGGGGAACCAGATTCCCACTGCCCATGCAGGATGTGGGTGGGACTCTCATAAACACATCTTAAAATCTTCTGAAACTGCATATTAATATTTAGAATTTTTTTCAAATAACAATATTAATTTAATATTCTCAGTGCTTTCTAGCTAATGTAAAACCATGTAAACATTGATCTAAATGACATAGAACCTATTTGGGATTAATGATATAAAAATGTGTAATAGGAGTTTTAAGTTTTTCTTCTTTAATTTTAGTTTATAGCTATCAAAATAGATAGTAATACATTGAAGCTAGAAGCAATATAACCAGATAAGACATTAAAAGATATGCTATTCTGTTGAGAAAGTTCTTAAATTGTAAGTACTTATTGTTTAGATCCACGAATGTGGTATACATAGTGGGATCTGAAAGAATGAATAAGAGCCTCCCTATGACAAGCATGAACCAGTCTTTTCTAGTAAATCTGTAACCGAAATTTATTTTAAAATTTCCAGCTCAATGTACACATTT